TTCCTGATCTGATAAATGTTTCATTTTTTGAAAATTGCCCCCCTTTTTTAATTTTCAATGTAAGATTGGCGTTAAGAAGATTGTAAAGAAAATTTATGATTATAAATTAAAGAGGAGTTTGCAAATTGTGCAGGGTTATATTTGGAATGCTGATTGCATTGCCCATAACCATACTCTACTACGTGCTGCTTGGACTCTAATCTATCTTGCGAGGAAGAGAATTATGATGCTGTAACTGTACGTACTACGTAAAGCCAAGGTCACCACGCTCAAGCGGGGTGGATGAAGAAACGTAGAAGATATTTGATTTTAGATGTTAGAGAGGGAAAGAGAAATTATATATAGTATATAGTAGAATGCTATATATATTAATTATTTATGATTCGTATGAAAGTTTGATTTCTTCCAAATTTCTTACTCACTCTGAATTCTCTCTATTTGTTAAGGGAAAAATCTTTTAGTTAGGTAGGAAAGCAAGAGATACAACCTACGAGACGCGAGATAGATCAATTTTTTTATGTTGTTTTTGGGGACACTAATATCAGTGGGGCAACTTTAAAATTACACTTTCGGCTTTTTAAACAAGGGAACTTCTGAATGAGCTAGCATTTATGCTCCCTTTCAACCGCACAGAAAAGAAACACATTAGGTATCTGAGGATTTAATTTTCGGAGAGTTGACTTTCAAATTCCTTCATTGATCAGGAAATTTTCTTTTCAATTTAATAAAATATTTTCAATTGAAGATTCAAACGATTGCAGAAATTGCTTATTTGGAAACGTTCCTCATCAGCAAATTACTAAAAGCATATAGACTCTATTTGCAAGCAATAAATACATACTGGTCATCACATACTACATGAATATATTCTGATTTTTTTAGTATAAGTTTTACGAGAAAATTATATATAACGTTGCATGTATCGAGGAAGGATCAATACAATTAAAGCATTATATACGCATGGTAATGCTGGCTTTTTCAGTATTGTTTACTATATCTGAACGAACATATAAATATATATATATATATATATATATATATATATATATATGTACTATGTATAAATAAACTACTAGTAGTAAAATTGATGAGTAGATTGAAGATCAAAAGCAGGGTGGCTTCAGTGCATCGTTCCAATGGTTGCCTTTTCCAAAAAAGTTTGGTTACTGTCATTGGGATCCTGTTCAACATAATAAATACTGAAAACTTCACATGTTTGACACATATACCAACAGTTTCATTTTATTAAAGTTTCAATGAATTGTCTTGTTCGGAGAGCCATTATTCATGTCACAGTTAATGATGCATGCAATGAATGATATAGGCCCCGACAACTTTGGCGATTAAAGTAATCAACTTCGTTATAATTATACTTATTATGACTCTGGCTAGTATCAGAGTCGTGAAGAATTTCTTCTACTATTTACAAAGAGTAGCATAGATGCTATGGATCTAACATTATTCTTATTAACTTTTTTACATCTATAAAAAAAATAAGCAAGGTACATGTTCGTCAATTTATTACTTAAATATTCATTGGAAGAAAAAGTAATAAAAGGAGTCTGCTCGCTAAATTTGAGCATATTACTTGGCTGAGTTTCTTGGAAATTGCAGACAGCACATAGAGCCATGTCATCTGACAATTTTGATTAAAAATCATAATCCCGAGTAGATTGTGATGAATTTATGAGAGGAATGAAAAGAATGGTTTGTATTTGAAATATGACAAGAAAAATCCATTAATGAAACTAATGAGATTAGATCAGAAACATGACATGTGCTGAGGTTCCTTATAATTTGATGAAATGATACTATTAAGGTCATCCTGTGCGTGTGCCACGATAGGGTTTAAGAAACATACAAGCACCGTAATGGTGTAGATTAAGAAGAAGTGGTTTTCCGTATTAGTTTATTTTGAGATTAACACTTTGTCTTGGTCACTAATCACGTGGAAGTCCAAAGGGGTGTCTTGTCTCGGTTATTTTCAATGTGGAAACTAACATATTGGAAATTGGCAGTGTTGCACATGAAGGTTGTCCCAGTTGGTGGAACCTTTCACACATTTGTTGAATAAAATAAGGATTTGAACAGTTTGTGTAGACAGTGGAGAGAACATAATGCATCCAATGACAGCGAGAGCCCTGACCTAAATGGGGAAACCCTAATTGCTTTATTTGTTGGTCTGTGGGTGTTTCTTTGTTTGTGTGTTATGTAAATCAATTTTAGATCAAGTGAATTGCATTTTTTTTGCTTCTGAACAAGTGCAGCAATGTTTACTTTTTCAAGGACTAAGCTAATTTAGAAGGTGCATTTCATCATATCCAAGATGTTGTTATTATTATGATTAAAGTATTCAACACATAAAATTTGCAGCAGACAAATGCACCGCGCCTTGAATATATACATATTCAATTTTTCAAATATGACTCTTCTTTCTTCAGTTCAAACAGACGGTTTAAGTTATCTTTAAATAAAATCATCTCAACAACCTCGTCATGAATTATTGATGTAATTTTTGTAAGTATTAGTTATATTAATCATTTACGATAAGATGGTTTAATCCCATTCATTTATTTTTATTTAGGGCAAGTATTATTATCATATTTGTAAGAACTTCAAGAATATATATTGAAGGAATTGTATTTTTTTAAAGGAAAGTTGAACACTTAAAGATGAGGTAGACCTAGTGGGAAAAAGGTTATTCGATTTTTACTCACTTTTTTTTTAAGCAAATGAAACTTAAAACTTGTAATTGATTTTATTTAAAAGTATGAAATTTCAGATTTTATGAATCTATTAATTTGATATTAAAAAAAAATATTATGTTTATGCTAGGAGATGGAACGGAAAATAAATGTATTTGTATGCTCATAAGAATAACCTAAAATATAGAAGTTAAATTAAATCATTACATAATGAAGAAGAATTTCGGACATGCACTCTATTTGAAATCTTCAGGAATTAATCTTTGAATCACTTTATGAAAAAAAAAAAAGACACAGGTTGTTCTTATTTATCATTCAATGTTTGTTGAGATCTCTTAAATGTAGTTGTAGGATAAAAAAATTGTATATTACACTATTTTATCCATTACATTTTATATAGACTTAATTAAGTTTTAAGTCTTTTATAAATTTTATAAATTTTAGAAAGAAATAACCGGATCCAATGTTTCAAGTGTACAAACAGGTGAACCATAAATAATCTCGAGAAGTTGAATCATTTGAAAACTAGTGAAGTACTTAGAAACCACAAAAAGGTGGTCAAAAAATCATTTTTTTAACTATATATTATTTTTATTATTTTTTCATAAATGTAAAAGTACAATAAATTTATAATTTTCAATGTTAAATTTTAATTAACCTAAACATTATAAAATATTTTATTTTTATGTATATTTTGAATATTAAAAACTTATAAATATGGTGCCTTCAATTTTTAGTATTATTAAATTATGTTCTACGAAATTATTTTATGTATAATTTCATTATTAGTACTATTTTATTATTGATTCAATCAATATCTAAACCAACTTGATGACAACTTCATTTTCTAAAACTTATATTTTTTATGTTTCTTAAATTCTGAGTTTAAGGCTCCTTTTTTCATACATGCTCAAATTCAATAATTAAATTTTCTTCCAGCTTAATTATTTACCATAAGACAATTATATATATATATATATATAGATAGATATACGGGGTTTGCTAACGAGCGTATGCCTGTTTTTCAGTGGGTACATTTTAGTAATGTGTACCGGATTTTAGTAGACAAAAATACCCTTATATATCATGGATTTTAAGTTAAGGGTATTTTAATAATTTTTATTCTCAAAACTAAAAAAAAAAAAAAAGAAACCCGGAAACCTTACTCACCTCCCTTATTCCTCTCAACCTTTTCTCTTTCATCTTTCTCACTCCAACCTTTTCTCTATCATCCCTACTGTAGCCCCAATTGAAAAAATCATAAACACTTGCCGTTAAACAATTTGCCTTTGTAAAGAGTTGAGTTATTCAATTTCACCATCTTCATTAACCTCTCTAATTTCATCATCTGCATATGTATCATCATCTCTAAAACAAACTCTCCAGACCAATTATCAATTCTTTCGGATGTCATTATACTTGTGAAAATTAGATAAAATTATATTTGACAAAAATTATAAAATGAAAACTCATTATAAAATCATTTTTTTGTAAGATTGTTTAAGAGCCAATTTTTCTGATTTTTTTTAATTGGGTTACCATAGGATGACAAAAAAAATGTTGGAGTGAGAGAGATGGAAGAGAAAGGGTTGAGAGGAGGAATGAGGGAGGTGAATAAGGATTTGGAGGGGTTTTTTTTTTTTAATTTTAAGAATGAAAATTATTAAAATACCTTCAACCTTAAAACTTACACAAACTCCTCTATATATATATATATGTTTGTGTATTGTAATGAAATAGATAAAATAAACAAAATTGTAATGAAAATAATAGTAAAATAAAACTTCCATTTTAAGTTTAGACATGTTGCAACTAGAAATACTGAATAGAGTATACCTAAATAAAGAAGATTTAATAAGATGATATTATATATATAGATTGATATTTATATTTGAGTTAGAGTAATCTAAATATTTTTTTAATATATTTGTTATTGTTCATAAAAAAGATGTTGCAACGAGAAATGAGACCAAATTTCTATTGACAGGAAATTAAGTTTAGACAATAAAAATGTAAAATAAAATAAAATAATAAAACATTATCATTATATTCCAATTTTCTTTGCATCCTCTTCTATCCAAACAGTTTAACTATCCTAAAGAATATATTACTAATCCTAAATACCATCAACTATTTATGATTGATTCACAACACAAAACCTTTTTCACTAAGTCAATCAAACTCAAATTAAGGCACTGCTAATTAATTTCGGAGGTCTGTTAAAGAACAAAAAATAATTTTTTTATAATAAAATTAATAATCCCTCCATGATTTCCAATGCCCCTGTCAACAAGATTCAGAATAGACAATTTTTATTCTGAGTATAATAAAAAAAATGTAATTCTGTTTTCTGATTTCTGTCACTATTACAAAATGAAACAGTAGCTCCTATTCTAAACCGAAGAAAAAACTCGTAACTCAGGATAAGAAACCACCAAATAATTCATTTACAGAGTAGATAGGGTTCCAACTTGCCATGATAGAAGCATTGAATCCTAGTATGCATATTTTTATATTTGAACATAAACAATTATTGGAATCTAGAAATCACAGCAAGGAAAAACAATGATTGACTAATTATCATCTCATGCAATGCAGTATTAGGAATTTTGCTAGACATTTTCTGTATTGTAATGTCCATTATGGGAACTGCCATTTTCTTTGCTTAGTTTAGATTTTGGTAAAAGGGAGGTCTGATGAGGAAATATCTTGGCTGTTTGCTGCTTCAGATTAAGGCAAGTGTAAACAGACATACCAACAATAGCTGTAAATGCTCCAAAGACACTGATTATGCCAGGATTGGATCCAAAGAGATAATAGTTTCCCAAAAGGATAATGCATGTCTTAAACTGCCCAAGAACAACATGCGAGACCGCAGACGTAGCACTGTAAATTACAAGGAAAAAATACATGAAGAAACTAGCCAGTAGAAGTTAACTAAACAACAATGTAAAATAGAAACAGATATACAATTTAATGAACTTCAATAATGGTCTGGTTAGGACAAATCTTAAATGACCAAACACTAACATTGTCACAAACTTTTCACACTTGTTTACTTATACATCTGACCGTAAAGTACCATCAGTATTAGGCTTAGCACATAACCATCAAAGTTTGCCATATCTATAAACTTATGTTGAAATTCTCAGTACACAGGGTCACTGTTGTAGTATTAATTATAGCATGTTAAAGGAATGTTTGCTAAAAATAAAACATGCTAGTGGAACAAAAAAAGTGTAAATAATCTAGGATTCGATGGTATCAAATGGCATTGAATCGTAGATGAGATAATTTATACTTTATTCATTCAAAACACTATTAATTGCGAATTATGGTCAGATAGGGAAATGCAAATTATACTCACATCAGAAACAAAGATGGTATCAGATGCCACTAAAGGCTTCTTGACACAACTCTGTCACCTGAACAAATAACCTTATACCTCCTCAAACAATGAAACATTTCAAATAGAAATGCTGACCAGCATACTTGATACCCAACCCAAGAGAACAAGTAATATCATGAAAGGAAGCTAAGAGAAACCAAATTGAACTATTTATGTTTGACACATTGGAGTTCAGGTCATTACTAAATGATCATTTAATTTGATGAAAACCCCCTAGTAAAGTATTAAACAAGTGACCCACCTACCGTTTACCAAAACTGAAATTCGATATCTTTTCACAGGCAAAATATTCAACAATTGAAGAGGGTAATGCATGTGCCTTACCCTAGTGCTAAGGCCCCAGATAACTGAAGAAAAAATCCAAGAATGGCTGATGTGAGTATCACCAATGTGTTAATGAAGTTCCAATCAAAGGAAAGTACACCAGGAGGGTCTAAGCAGGGTAACATAGCAGCCAGAAAAATTAAAGTAATAGGTGTTGTTTTCCACATTAACCTGTTGAATAATCCACAAATATTGGTATGTAAATCAGCACTTGGAATTGGAAGAGACAGTCATTACATAATATAAACTATAAAGACATAATAAATACTTATTAATGACCAAAAGAATAAACAAATTACTCACGCCAAAGCAGTCCAGTTTTCTAGCTGCTGCAATCTGGACCAGAGGATTTTGTTTATAGCACTAGGTACAATCCACGCTAATGCAACACAGGCACCAAAGAAATGGAACTGCAGATCTGTCACTGTAGCCACAGCAACACCAATAGATACTACCGTTAATGCTAAAGCCTGTAAAGTTTCATATCAACTGAGTTAGCGTTTCAATAATAATAAAACAAAATAAACAAATGAGATACGTATGAAAATTCTGAAATCTAGAATCAATTGTGGAGAATTACACATCGATTACTTCTGAAACCTAGAATACAAGCATCATTGTAGCTAAAGGTTTACTGATTGAATCAGTTTTGTTCAACTGGCATGATGTTAAAGATCAACAAACGAGTAAAATGATAAACTTCAAAAATAATAGTCGTAGTTACTGGACTTTTATTTTCAACTACAATTTTGAACTGCATTCATAGGTCCTCAGAAGCACAGATAATGACAAGAGACACGCTTTGGTTACGCACTTCGCAATGAAAGGGCGAAGTTAACTACTTGAAGTCTGTTATTTTACGTTAAGCTACAGGAGATCACCATAGCACAAAATGTGCATATAACTCAAATCAATAGTAACAAAAAAAAACACTCTTATTTCTACAAGCCCCTTAACACTCTTAATTATTCCCATCCAATTTATATGCCCAGCCAAAGTTAATGTATTTACCTTGGGCCAAGAAACTTTCTTCCTGTACAATACAAATTCTGCCATAACTATTGAAGGTGTTACTGCAATCTTTGCCATCTGATAGAAACCAATACTGAAGATATAGATATTAAATTCAGAGAACGAAACAAATATTTTAAATAAAAACATCATAGTTGTGTTACCTATTATACTTCAAGCTGACATTAGCAAGGCCAGTAGATAGAGACATGACAAATCCAAGAGTAAATAAAGCAGACTGTTTAGTTGACTTTGAGGAGGGACAAGCAGGAAGCAAAGAGAACACATTTAGTATAGCCATAAAGAACCAGCTCACTACGTAGTGAATTAGTGAGAGAAGAATAGGGAATTTGAATTTAACAGTTTGAAGAACCTGAAAAGAAAAGTCAAAGAAATCAAAATCTAGATGCATGGTTATTTGAAACTTCCACACACAACACAGTCCAACCAGACAGAAAGGAAAGTAAACAAACCATTTTGTTCATGAAGATAATACTAATTGCTACTACAAAATTGAAGGCAAGTGCTGCAGCTGGACCACATGTGCGATGTTGATGTCGTTTTGCACCTTCAGGGGAACGAAATTCATTAAACAATGAGCCTCTCAGGTCTTCCAGTGCTCTTCCTGCAATGACAAATAAAAGTTAATAGGAGGTATTAGGGAAGTTTCTTATGGAGATACAGAGTAAAGCATAAACTAAGTATGCATCAGATTCATATTCTAATATATCAAGAATTGTTGGAAGGCTCACATCGACTAGAGATAAGGCCAAATTATAATATATAAGTGAAGTGCAAACCTCACCTTACAAGCCGGTTTTGTGAGTTAGGTCTTAAAAAACTTACTTTCTTATATCGTATGAGTGAGGTGCAAACCTCACCTTACTTTCTTACAAGCCGGCTTTCAAAATTGATTTTAAAGAAAAATAATTTATGTTTAAATGTTTTTATTCTAAAGGAGTTAGCAATAAACTTAATATAATTATTTATTATGTTACTTGAACTATATTAATGACATTTCAATGTTGAGTAAATTTTCATGTGTTTAGTCCAACATAATCAATTCTTGATCAAACCTGATTTTAAGTTGAAGCAATTTTAAGTAAATCGTGTTGGATAAAAATTTTACACCCTGTCTTACTCCTAGTTTGTTTTTAAAGTAAAAACATCCCGACATATTAACTTTAATCAAAAACAATTTGAAACTTAAAATCTATTTCTCACCCAGTGGCCAAAATGCGACCATATATACATTTACAAAATCACTTAAACTAATATTTCAGTTCATTTTGGATGATTCAACCTGAATCCAACCAAGCACAAAATTCTAAAACAAAATTATTTATAGTACTCTAACAAAGGCCTATGTGTATGACTATGATGTACCGATACGGTATCCATATACGTATGGTGTAACGATATGAGAAGATACATTATATATATATTTACAATTCTGTAAATACAAATTAAGAATGTATTTTTGAACATTATTAAAAACCAAAATCAGAAATCATTATCATCATAAATTCCTTCTCATTACTTATAAGAATAGTATTATAAATCATATTCTTTTGTCCAAATCGTATGAATGGGGAACAATTTTTATTTTTGCTTCCTCATGGACAATGCTTCCGTGTGTCTATGTCATATCTATGTAAGCATAAAAATTCATAAAGTATAATAAATATATAATTGTATTTATGCAAATCTAAATTAATAATGTATTTTTTTAACATTATTGGAAACAAAGATCATAATCATTTTCATCATAAATTCCTTCCTATCATTTAAAAAATATACTATAAAGGCAACAACTTTTAATTTTTGGTAAATTTATGCAGAATGATTCCGTGTTTCTATTCTATATTATATGTCTCACGTAATTATATTTATTTTTCACAAAAAAAAATTACAAATTGGATAATACTTAGCCTGCTTGCATTAAAAAAGTATCCATGAACATGCTTGATGTAAATTGAAGTACAAGTGTTTTGTATTCTGATGATCACTAAAATTGAAAATGACCAAAAAGTCTTGCAAAAATGGAAGTTCCATACCCAGACCCATTTTTCAACGTGGCTACTCTTCAATGAATGTGAAAATAGAGTTCACAGTGTAAGAAGTTAAGTGTTCTGAAAAGGCTCAGAGTTGCTGTAAACAATGAAAAGTTGATGGAGAGTATAATCCGATGCAACATATTTACACTGTCCAATCTTAAACCAGTAATTGATAAACCCGAAGCATCGAGAAACTGAAATATTGTAAGAAAGAAAGGAATGTAGAATGCATATAGTACCTCTTTCCCCAGCATCGCTATCTTTGCGCTTGAGAATCTTTCGTTCGTCTTTTCCAAGTAAGAAATTGAACATTTTGAGAAGAGGGTAATACTGAGAAGGGAAATGGGGGAGGCAAAGTAAGAGACGAAGTAGCAGTGGCACTTGCTTTCGGATAGGAAGAATGAATAGAATGGAGAAGGTGAACAGAAGAGACAAAAGTTTGGGGAAAAAGGTGATTGACACGTGGATTGTGCCGGTGATGGCGGAGAATGGCAGCTGTCGGCGACCCTTTAATACCTTTCACATGACAAGACATTTAACCTTGTTCTGATGTTTATATGACAGAAACGGTGTCGTCCCATGTAACCCATCAATGTGACGGCAAAGGTCATTCAGCAAACACTTTACCAACGACATTCTCCATACTTTTCTTTTTCAAGAATAACACATTATTCTTATCTCTGAAAATTGATGTAAATATTTTCAAGACTACTTCCATTAACTAACTTTATTTTAGATTTCTTAATATGTATAAATAACAGGAATCCTGATTTTTGTATGAAAAAAATGTAACCTAATGCCCATTAAATGAATCTATTAGATTTAAAACTCAATTAAACTAAATTAAAAAATAAATGCAAAATTAAAAGTGCGATCAAATTTAAAGATTTCTAATATATAAAGATTAAAATAAGAAAGAAAACAAAAACTCAGATAAATATTTAAAAGAGAAACAAATTTACAGTTAAAGCAAAATAATGTATTGGTTTAAAATGTGTTCTATCTATTTTTTATATATACGTTTACTAAAATGAATATTTCCCTTCCTCATTTTTATTTTGGATTTTGTCTAACTTATTCTATCCACCTTTACTTGTGCTTGGCAAGTAGATTCCTACGTTTCAAACCCTATCGATTACATTTCTTAATTGGTAGAGTCACTGGCGGAGAATAATAGGAGATGCCATCTCCCCAAATTTTTTAAATTATATGTTTGAAATTTTTTATATATGTTATATATTGAAAATCTGTGAAAATTAAATTGGATATTTTTTTTATAAACCACAACATTTAATAATAATAAACAACATAACAGAAAATTCAATATAATAAAAAATAAATAAATAATTATTAATATTTTTTTTTCAATTATCTTTTAGTTTCTCATCTATTATAGTAATCATTCCTTTTTATGTGTTTTCTTTTGTTAAAGTTAATATAAACTCATTATTTATGCTTTCACTTTTTATATGTTTATTTTTATTTTTTTTTAAATATAACTTACTTGTTATTAAATTATTAGTTTTATAGTTAACATTTTCTTAATTTGATGAGTTTTTTTTATATTATTTTTATAAATATGGAAGGAAAAGTTATGTATTATTAATTTTTTTATAATCAGTTTTAAACTGTGGTTTGATTATTATAATTTTTTCTTTTAGTAATCACATCATTCAATTTTTTTATTACATTATGATAAATTGTTTTTTGGTCTTAAAAGTTGTGTTTTTTTTAAAAAAGGTATCTTGTTGTAAAATAAAATAATAGATTTTTTTTTAAATTGTAATAGGAAAGTTATTGGTGAACCCGAAAACAAGATAGATTTAACTTTTTCCTATGTTTTAAAGCATTATATTAATTATTCAATTGTTTAATTAGATGAGCTCTTTTTTAAAATTTAAAAGAATTAGAGTTTCATATTAATTCTAGAACGTGATTCAGACAATACCTTCAAATATGAAAATATTCAATAAGTCAAAAGATATAAAATTAGAAGAGTTTATTTAAAATAGATTCCATATCAATTAAAACTTCAAAACTAATACTTTTATAAGAATAAACTTCCAGAGAGATTCTAATTATGTCAATTTTTTGCAAGAAAAAAAAGTAACCAACATTTTTTTATTGACAGTTTACTTTATATTAATGAATATTATCAAAAATAAGATTATCTAATAAAATGAAAGATAAATTATTTACACTGAACAAGAAATAACTGAAAATTTTAATTCTGATTTAATTATTGGTTAATTCAAAAATCTGAAAAAACAAGGTTTAATGTCTCGGTAGGTCCCTATTTTCGGCGTGAATCTCAAATAGGTCCCTTTTCTTTTCGGCGTCTCAATTGGGTCCCCATTTTTGTAAAATTGTAACAATTTAGGGGTCTGCCGTCAAATTGGACAAACGGCCGTTTAATTGTCCAATTTGACGGCAGACCCTGTAAGACCCGTAAATTTTGGATGGAAGGGACATGGAGGGGACATGGTGGTCACCCACCTCTTTGACTATCATTATGCACTTATTGGAGGTGCATTATCACTT